CAGGCAACTCGAATCAAAAACGGTGTACAAGGCGGCAACCTACTTGCGGGTCAACACCGAGACGGTGAGCATCAGCTCCCCGTACGCCACCATCCACTGCATCCAGGTCGTCGACCAACTGCGGACCGGCAAGAACGCCGCCGTCACAGTGAATGTAGGCATGGGACAGCGCAGCGCCAGCCTCAAGTTCGAGAGCAAGCGCGGGGAGAAGATCAGCTACCTCCTCATCGTCTGGGGCAAATAGGCGACGCCAATCTAGCAAATAACTCATGTTTCCTAGAACTGAAAACGGAAAAAAAACAAACATCCATGTACGTGATTTCCAAAAATTCTTACTTATGTTACGAACACGCCAAAAAAGAACAGATGTAAACGGGGAGAAGATCAGGAGTGCAGGGACACGTCCAATATGGAGCAGGTGGCCATTTGTCTGCGTACACTTGACATATGGGCACGTTACAAGCAGCCGAATATTTCATAGGCCTGTACGCGACCAGTGACACGCGACGGGACAGGCATTGCCAGACATATTTTTAGACGTCCTTAAACGCATTTCCCTCCACGTTTCGAATCTATCCGTCCAATGCTTCTACGGGGCGTCTAACACGAAAGGGGAATTTAAAGGCGTGCAAGCGAGACTCAAAGGGATGCAGCCTCTCGCACTGTTTGTCCACTGCTTCGACCATTCGCTGAACCAACCTCTGCAGGACACCATGAAGGGGTTACCCGGCGCCCGTGATGCACTTCAGTGGATCCACGATGTCAGCGTGATAGGGTGATTCTCAGAATACGGGCCGTTTAGATTCCGCGGCCCGTCACAACTATGTGATATGGTTTTCAAAGGTTTTTTGGCTGAGCTTGCGAAGCCTTTGCTGTGATGTTGGGTGCAGAGAACTCTTTGGTCGTGTGTCTGTCTGTCTGTCTGTCTGTCTGTCGATCTGTCTGTCTGTCTGTACTGGCCCACGTTTCTCTCAGACGGTAACTTCAATTGACTTCAAACTGCGCACGGAGCTTCAGTATAAGTCGAGACGTAATGAGTTTAGTTTAGAAGTTTGATATTAGATGTTTGAAATAAACGATCGTTTAATTTGAATTCGTTGTTTGGTGGCGGTAGGTTGGTAGCACGGCGCTCGATGGGAGGGGGAGCGCAAGTGGCTCCTTGCGCTCACCTGAAGACTTTGATACCTTCTCAGCAGTTATTAAAATGTCAGATAGTCAAACCGAGTGTTTTAGTTTTAGTTTTAGAGTTGTGGAACTTAGCCTGTGAAGTTTCGCGAGTGTCCGATGAGAAGGAACGAAAGTGATATTTGGAATGGTTTACGTGTTTACTTACGTAAGTTGGAGGGGGGTGTGTAAAGTTAAGCTCACGTGAGCTCACGCGTGAGTGAGTTCATGCGTGAGCTCGCTAGATCGTGTTCTTAAACACGGCAACATACAAATTTTAAGAAAGGGGGAATCCTAGGGATCATTACTTTTTCGATACTCCGTTTGATTTGGGTGATTCCGGGGCGCAGGGCTGGAAATACCCCGCTGCAGGGCGCGGAGTTTCCGGACTCACTCACGCGTGAGCTCACGTGAGCTTAACTTTACACGCCCGGGGGGCGGGGGTAGTGGTGGGAGAAATGTGCAAAGGTATCTATGGTTTCGGGTTCATCTTGACAAAAGAAAACGAAAATGTTTTATGCTCCAAGACGATCAGAATCGAAATGGCAGAGTTATGTTCAAATGTTCAATAAAGTGTTCAATCGCCCCTAGCGGCCAAACGGTGCGTCGGAGGTCAATTCTGACGGCAGTTTTCG